GGAGTAGGAGCTAATTTGGTTCTCGAAAAAGGCAGTCCGGTACTAAAATCGCACCCAGTTCCGGCGGTGCGAACACGCCAAAAAGTGGGTAGTTCCACAATTAGTTCTGGTACTATGAAAAGGTTCCCGCGGTGCGAAAGGCCCTAATTATACTGTCACAGCGACACTGTAAAATAAAGTGTAACCATGGATTGTTTTCTAAAAATCTTCATTTGCGTTCATCTTATTAAATGGATATAACAATAACTATCATGTTTAATCATCTTTTTAATTCTTTGAGAATACACCACAGCTATAACGAACGATGATGACACAGGGTGCTAAAAACAGTAATTTGGAATTTTTGTTGGAATCACTTCAGTGCAAGTCGACCAAAAACCCACAACACAATGAAATTAACAAAAATGAAAGGGGAGAAATATTGTCTTAAAAGGACAGTTCACCCAACTGCTATCAGTTACTCATCCTAATGTCATCCTAAAATACTTATTTTCTTCAGATGAACATTTTTTTAGATGATGAATGATTAAATATTTACAGCCAATCAGAATCCAGCGACTTTAAAGAGCTTGAACACTTAAAGTGGCAGACAACAGAAATGCAGCACGTCTATAAATAGTCTGTCAGTTAGGTGGACGTGAATATAGTTTATCTTTACAGTTATCGTTCTTAGTGTGAACCTCCAACAAAAGATATGTAAAAGAGTTTTGAAAAGGCATCATGAAACCGACAAGTATACTAGTGTACAGTGCAAGTCGACCAAAAACCCACAACACAATGAAATTAACAAAAATGAAAGGGGAGAAATATTGTCTTAAAAGGACAGTTCACCCAACTGCTATCAGTTACTCATCCTAATGTCATCCTAAAATACTTATTTTCTTCAGATGAACATTTTTTTTGTCCATTACAATGAAAACGTCAGTGGGCCCCATTGTTGTTTTGGACCCCATTTACATTAATTTCATTGACAAAAACAGTCAAAACACTCTTCAAAATATCTTCTTATGCATTCTGAAATGAAAATCAGACATATAGGTTTGAAACAACATGAGGGCGAGTAAATGATTACAGAGTTTTTATGGTATTGGACAACACCGCTAAATTTGACTGTCCTACCGGTGTTAATCCACTTTAATTGCTTTGATATTATAACAGGATCATGATTTCAACCAATTAACCGAAGGCACATTGAGTATAGAGTTGTCTTGTGAGGTTGCTTATTTGGATACGGAACCTACATATGTTAATAAATGCTACTGTCGCTGGCGTAAATAGGGAAACAATCACCGTCAAAGTGGAATCAACAGTTAAACAAAGTGGGTTATCTAATGATAGCAATTAGTTAACAAACACTGATACTACGCAATGCCAATGCCCCCCAACTTTACACATTTGTGGGGCCACCGGCTCCTGACAAGCTTAGCACTAATGAGACAACACTATTGACGCTGAACACTGACTGCAAGCTCTCTCTTTCCACTGCTAATCTTATGCAAACAAGCAGCCACATGGATCCAACCTGGAAATGAAAAGACCACACGCGGACCCCACCGCGTACAAATGGGCTACAAGATGAGTTGGCCCTCAGGGAAATTAGTAGACTGGGAATGTGTAGGAGACAATTACACTGTCACTCATTTACCGTATCTAGACCTGAAGTGCTTTCTGGTGGGGTGTTCAATATTGTCTGTTTGATTTGGATTTGATTTGCAAGCATGGTTCAGTTGGAAACAAGTACAGAAATTGCCATATTTGTCCTGGCTGGAATGAAATGAGGACAAAAGGAAGACATGGTCAGTCATAGTGATGACATAATTTCCTGACTGATGAAGCCAGTCATGATAAAATACTGGCTAAAACGATAAGTCTGACACCACAGTTGATGGAAAAACACTGTCTTGTAAAGTCAGCAGAAAGCATTAGCCTGCTGATAAAAAAACAAAAAAACAACTGTAACCAGCCTAAGATGGTTTGCTAGTCTTCGGTGGTTTATGCTGGTCTCTCAGCCAAGCCAAATAGGTGTTTAGCTGGATTCAGGCTGAAAAATGTCCCAAGACCCTCTAAAACCATCTAACAGACCAGTTTGGCCAGACTGGGAGACCTTCAAAACATCTTGGGGTAGATTAAGATGTTTTTTTTTTAACTATATTGTCTAGTGTATTCATAGTCATAACAGGTTTTAAATTAACAAATAACTAGTTTTGTTAAATAAAAAACAGAAATGTATGCGGATATGATTCACTGTATTCATGAAATGACGTGTAGCGCATTTACTATTGGGAACTCACAGCTGTTAGGTGACAGAACAAACAAGGGTGAAAATAAAAAACTGCTTGTACAGTACACTTGAAACTGATAGATACGTATTAACAAATACAACAATCACATACGTTTAAAAAAACGGGATTTTTATTATTAAACTTTTTCTAAAGCATACTCCGAAAATAATTTTAAATAGGAGAAACCGAGTGCTCCGCGCGGTTTACGAATCATAATTAGACATTGTTTCTACACGCCGTACAGTCAATGCATCACTCACCTGAGACAAATAGCACGGTTCACACATACCGACAGCGAGAAATCCGACTTTACACACACTGATCCGGTTTAAATGTTCAGCTCGTGAGATTCTAAACAAACGCGACCGTAGCTCGTAGGTTCTGCACTGCCCGCGCACCTCCGCTCACAATGGACTGTGATGATGTGTGTGAGCAGCAGACAAGAGTCATCCGGGCTGCGTGCGGAAATCTGTGAAATGGTGGCCTACATAAATCCGAAATCACAGGGCCGTGTTTGGTTACAGCGCTGCTTTGTTGTTTAATTACACTCAATATTGATCTTGCATCCAAATCAAAACATCCTCGCATATCACTTCCGCGTGTCGTCATAATGTGGGGGTTTCGAATTCCCTCGACCACAATGACAATGAAAAACATATTTAGAGCTCGATTGTAGTCCAACCGGGCCACATCTTAGTAGGGAACAGGAACAAGTTTATATCATGCATTTGTTATTCCAATAAGGATATCGTTGTTTTAAATTATGCCAAAAATGTGGTTTCACTTGTTTTGTTTACATGTTGTATACTGACTGATGTGTGGGGGGTTTTGGTTGGATTTGTTCTAAAGTTGGCTGGCATTGACAGCAAAGGAATGCCTTTCCTTCACTGTGTTTGGCACCATCTGTAAAGTATGCAAGTTGCAGAGAACATCTGTTTTCAACTGTAAGTGACTGGGTTGAACTACCTGTACGTCGAGACAGAAAGTATTTATGTAATACTAATGGGTTTTAAATGGTCTTTGGTTACTGAAATTCTGTCTGTAAATATTATACTATCAACATAATATACCACAAAGTGTTGGTGAAGTGCAGCCTGTGCACAAACAAACTCAACTGGAAGAGAGAAGTTACAGCCAGGGCTGAGACAACAGCACCTCCCTCAGGACTACAGATGCAGCTTCAAACTAATCAAACTGACATAAATGGGGGTGATGTGCATAATTAAAACAGACACGACAGGCAAAACTACATTTTTCTATAATTTAATTTCCGGAAGTACATCAAAAAATAACTGCAAAAATAATTAAACTGACACATAAATACGTTAATTTCATAACTCTGTTAAACGAACTGTTGAACAGCACATTTGCCATTCATGCAGGATCACAGCAGCACTAGTGGAAGAAAACAGCATCCAAATCACTCAGAACACCAGTTTCTTTTTAAGGGAACCTGAGAAATGGAATAGGAAAAAAAAAAACATTTAGATTTCAAACTTCAATACCATTTCCATTATACATTATCCTTATCTATTATATACTGGTGTAATTAAATGAGAAAATTAAGTTTTTAACATTGTTTACATGTCTATCTGTTGTTTTAATATGCTTAAAGACAAACCAGGTGTAAATTCTTCAGTCAACACCATTGCTGTGCATTATTTAAAGAACACTGACAGCTATCGGGTACATTTATCTCGTATTTTTGCATGTTTTCTTCACCCTGTTCAATACTGTCACGTTTTCTCTTGATTCCAATCAACAGGTTTTCTTTCTCTTTCAGGGCTTCTGTTGAGGAGTTTGGTCTGGGAAGCAGAGGTCCTGGGGTTGGTCCTGGTCTATTGCTGAAATACTTCATCTTCAAAGCCTAGAATGAGCATACCCATTCATTCAGACAGTCTCTAATGTAGATTAGCTTTAAGCATTACGATTAAGTTGATAAAACTGCAACCCAGTTACTGGCACCTGTGAAGCTGTAGTGCGTGTGCAGGGGTTAAAGGTGAATAATCCCTTCAGGAGCTCCAGAAGGTCATCGCCAGCTGCGCTGAAGATGTGCTCCAATGGAGTGCCAGGAAACAGTTTAAATGACACATAATCCGGAAGACTAGACAGCCCCTGAAACAACAAACAGCACAAATCACTGATTCTGCCTCATATACACGCATACATTTCTCAAAGCCTCAAAAATGGTACATTATTGACATGTCTTTGTAGATGTGTCTCAAGTAATCATTTGATTTCTTATGCAAATGAAGCTGAAGTAAAACTCTCTCAATTACAAATAAGTATAGTAGATAACTACAACTCACAGGCCATGTCTCCTCTGTTGGGGTTCCCAAAGCTTCAAATATCTTTGTCAGCTGGTCCAAGTCTGAATCTCCAGCTAAAAATGGCACCTGGCAGAAGAACAAACTATTCTTAAAATGCATGTTAATGGTTTAATCATTATGGAAACGTGTTTCTGCCACGGGATTAAAAAAAATAATAATTAAAATGTAATTGCGATTTTTTAATCTCACAATTCTTTTTTTTTTCTCAAAATTGCGAGATATAAACCTGAAATGAAGAAGAAGAAAACCCTGGCCTTACCTTGCCATTAAATTACATCAAACTAGTTAACACTGCTTTGAGAGTTTTTCTAATACAACGGCTGAAGGAGTGATGGCAAATTTGACATCTTTCTCTCTTTTGACTCTTTTGATATTTTCTTCCCTCTTTTACAAAGTCATACAAACACCATCATATTTTTTTCTTTAGCGATTTGGGGAAATCTGAACTCAAAATAAATTGTATTTTGTCGTAGTGTCTGTTCAACACTATAGAAGTTTACCTAACTATGACAGCTTTGCTTCTGAGAACCCTGGAAATGTGAAAAGGGTCTACTGGTATTCAAAGGAACCAAATGGTTTTACAAACACCGGATTAAGTCAGATACTCACTCTGAGTAAAAGCTCAGCAAGAATGCAGCCAACTGCCCACATGTCCACACCCACACCGTACATCCTGGCACCAAAGAGCAGCTCCGGGGCACGATACCATCTGAGAAGTAGTACCACACGACATGAAAAATGAAACAATAGCATAATAAAGAGCATCCAAGTACTATTGTAGAGGTCAACTCAGAACTATTAGAGACTTCTACGAACCTTGTAACAACTTGATGAGTATACACTCGGTTCGGGCTTCCAAACGCTTTGGCTAAGCCAAAATCAGCCAGCTTCAAGACTCCATTCTCATCCAGTAGCAAATTATTGGGTTTCAGATCCTAATAAAAGAAACAATAACAATAACTGGAAGTGGCAGTTTTCATCAGGAATTTTTTTGGGAAATAAGTTAAGTACTATTCAAAAGTTTGGGGTCTGTTAGATTTTTAAAAATGTTTTTGAAATTAGTCTCTTATGCTCACAGAGGCTGCATTTATTTGATCAAATATACTGTAAAAACAGTAATATTGTGTGAGATATTATTACAATTTAAAACAACGGTTATATTTAACTTTTTTATAATTTTTTTTTATTATTACCAGTGTTGAAAACAGTTGTGTTTAGGGTTGCACAATTCCCGGGAATTTTCAAGACTGGAAAATTTACATAGGAATTAACGTGAATATATATGGGGATTAATGGGAATAAACTGGGAATTTGCAAAATTGCAGGAACAGGGAACTTAAATGTAGTTGAAAAAAAAAATCTTGCAGCATAATCTTGGTTAAAACAACTAGATTTAATGCAATTTCAGTTGAATTTCTACCCTGTACATTCCTCAATCACATGCACACAGCACACTTACTGCAGGGCTATTGAGACCTCACACCCTACATGCACTGTGCATTCCTCCATAACATGCACATAATTTCATGAATCCTGAACACAAAATGATGTCAAAATGGCCATCTTGGTGAGTATTTACGTAAATTACATAAATATTACATAAATTTATGTTTAAAACTTTCTTGTGCTGTGTAAGCTATTGCGCAACAAAATTATACCATTGTAAAATCAAATACACTGACTGAGCAAACATTAAGGTGAGGAGATAAAAAAAAAACCTGCCTAAAAATGACCCTCCTCAATACACAATCTCCCCATGTCACCTAAGGGGGGAATTCCTCCTCATTTTCCAGGCTTCTATTCAAGTAAGTTTTGATATAGACCAATTTGTGTTTGCAAACAGTGATGAGTTTTTTTTGTGGGAGGAGCCTATCTGGTGACAGAAAATGACAGGTTTAAAGTAGCAGTCTATGGAAGCCATGGAATAAAGGTAATTTTGAGTTTATATTTCAAAATTCTGACTTTTTTTCTCACAATTCCAAGATTATATTTCACAATTCTGATTTTTTAAAAATCCACTCGTCGTCATTTTTTTTTTTTTCCCACCCTTCTGGCTTTTTTCCTCAGAAATGACAAACTCACAATTGTTGAGTTATAAAGTCAGAACTAGGAGATTTGCATCTGCAAGGGAAAAAAAGTCAGAATTGTGAGATAAAATAAGTAAATGTTATGTAAAATGTTATAGGTTTAATTGGTATTTCATGCTGTAACTGTAGGGCTCGTACAATTATGTCCCCTATGAACTGCATATGTGAATATTATGTAGACCTATTGTTTAATTCAAATTTATGCTTTAAAAGTAGGGTAATCATAGCAGGTTTCATCCATAGTCTGTCCATTTAAATGTCTGCGTTTAACTTCAAATGGCGTCTTTGACGACAGTATTCTATAAAAATTATTTGCATTCCGATTCTGACATCCAAAGGCACAACAATACATTTTTTTTTCTTATTCCATAGATTTTATCCGCTTCCCTCCACTTGTTACCAGTGTTTTTCTGCCACCACAATGCGCGTGCAGCTGCAAGTGACATAACTGTGATGTCTACTCCAAACTGGTCTATTACTTGGGTAAATATATTTGATCTATGGATTTAGGTTAACTAGCAAATACCAAAATGTGTTTATACAGCAGCTAGCTAGCCAGTAAATCAGATATGAAAAATGTAAGCTAGTTAGCACTATTTCATTGAAAATGTATGAGGCTAGGTATCATGTGCTAGCTAGCTCAAGCTGTGATGCTCTTTCTTCTACAGTCTGCTAGCTAGTTCTGTTATCATACAGAAGTACAGCACTGGTCAAACGTTTGGACACATCACTATTTTTAATGTTTTTGAAAGAAATCTCTTACGCTCATCCAGCCTGCATTTATTTGATCAAAAATACAGAACAAAACAGTAATATTGTGAAGTATTATTACAATTTAAAATAATGTCTTTCTGTTTTAATGTACTTTCAAATTTAATGTATTTCTGTGATGCAAAGCTGAATTTTCATCACCCATTACTCTTCAGTGTCACATGATCCTCCAGAAATCGTGCTAATGTGCTGATTTATTATCAATTTTGGAAACAGTTGTGTTGCTTAAAGGGGTCATATGATGCTTTTTTAAAGATCATTATTTTGTGTATTTGGGGTAACAGAATATGTTGACATGCTTTAATGTTCAAAAAACACATTATTTTTCAAATACTGTACATTATTGT